CTCCAATCACCTGCTAATCTCTGCTTAATCATCGGATGGCTTCGTCAATGGCGCTCAAGAGGCTACTTTCATCATCAGCCCGATCTCTGAATCCCCTCCTCCGCCAGTCAGCCGCAGCATCCAATGCTCTCCACGCCTCCGATCGTCCTCTGGACCATCGCCGCCGCGACTATTCCTCTTCTACAGGTACCTTCGGATCCTTATACAGTCCGCTTGTTCTTATGTTCGTATGGGTTCTGAAAAGTTCATCGTACCGCATCCAAATTCTAATCTGTTCCTGCTCATTGCCAATTGGTACAGTGCGGATTTTTGTTTTTTGTTTGTTTGTTTGTTGAATTTTTTGTTTTCTTCATTTAAAGTTGGGATGTTTTGATTTGGGACGAAGTATCATTGTTCTTCTTTAGTTTTTGGGTCAATTTCGTGGCATGTTCAAAATAAGTAAAAAAATAATTAGGTAGAACATGTAATAGCTGCACTTTTGGTGAAATTGCAGTGTGTTCCGTCAAAATCCAGTTAGTCTTGTTCGTGTTCAACGTCCTCGTATCGTAAATTGAATGCATAGTTCTGTTTGTGCATTGTTGCAGGTGGGTTCGACCCGTTTTATTGGAGGAGGAACATGATCAATGGCCAATCGAGCCAATACTCTACTGTTGCAGCCGGAATTGCTGATGTGGCAGACACCGGTAAAGAGGAGAATCTGAAGAAAAACGTGCTCCGGCCTTTATCTCCTCATCTCCCCATCTACAAGCCCCAGCTAAGTTCGACCACCTCAATTCTCAATAGGATATCCGGAGTTTATCTGACTGCTTATGTTCTGGGTTTTTATCTTGTTCCTATAAAACTGGGTTCTGTTAGCTTCAGCTATGAGGGTTTCTATCAGTTCTTGTTCTATTCTTCAAAACTCAGCCTGTTGTCCACTGAGATTGCTGCATTAGCCTTTGCCTATCATGCTTATGCTGGGATCCGTCACCTGTTGATGGATGTTTCGGGAACTGTTTTCCCAAGAAAATGAAATTGATTGCGTTTAAACTCTTTCATCTGCTATAGTTTTCAGTCGAGTCGGGTCAGATCATGTAATAAATTTTGGATATTAGTGCCGCTATTCTGGAAAGTTTTTTCTAGGCTTTTGCGTGCCCTTAATTTGTTGCTTGTTTGGTTATAACGATGAACGATGACCATATTAAGACTTTCTATTCGCCTTTCGTCTTTCATCTCTCTCTCTCTCTCTCTCTCTCTCTCTCTCTCTCTGTCTAAGGTTTTATATTTGTTTGAAATTTCTTTTGTCAGTCAAGTCATATTTTGGTATTTTCCTGCGTTTTTAGTTCTCAAGATGCATCTCCTTTGCTGATTTTCTTCCATGTGTTATGGCTCGATAATTTTTTACTAGATGAGATGTAACTCTGCATGCGTACAATATTTGATCTGAATTTTGGTTTCTTCATTGCTCTAAAATTACTCATTCCTTTATGCTTTCAACTCACCACTGGGAAGGTGAAAAATACTTGCTAAATCGTTTTTTGTGGTTGAGGGATGAGCTGAGAACTATTGTGGTCGTTGTTGGTTAAGAAAGAAGAAAGAGAAAACCCTTTTGCACCTCGATGATACATCGAGACTTAGCTTTCCTTTTTGTAAATTAATGTAAAATACTCACAAGTTGTTCAAAGAAAAATAAGAAGGGACGAAATTCCAAATTATAAATCCATGATTAAATAAAAAACGACAATCTTTTAGATCTAAACCTTAACGATCCAATACCATCTGCAAATGAATTACCAACAACCATTTGCAATCTCACAACTCTTGCATCTTCTCATTTTTAATGACTCTTGGGTCCTTTGTCACCACCAAACTCCAACTACTTGTCGACTAAATGTGATTTTCTGGCTCTCGAAACCCTTAATCCTCATGAGCTCATAAATAGGATAGTGGATAAATGAATATGATAACTTGTATGAAATTTCTTAAATGATCTGAGTGTTAAAATATCAAGATTTGGAGAAATTTTCTATTTTCTTTAGTAAGAATACTAGTTGCCTATCCAAACCGAAATTTGCCAAATCTTAGATGGTATCCAAGTTAAAAAAATCTTCAAGATACCTTCTTCTCCTCCTTGGAGTTGGCAAGTCCAAGAGAGGTGTTTGCTTATGTGATTGATGATGTCAGTAATAAAATTACTTAGTGGAACAACAAATTCTTATCTACTGCTAGCAAAGAAATTCTCATTAAATCTGTGCTGAATGCTTTTCATGTCTATGCAATGTCATGATTTACATATTTAATGATTTAATCTCTAAACTCTTCTATGGAGGATTGTAACGCAGCCTAACCTTTTGATGAGCAAAATCCTAAAAAGTAGGTATTTTTTCCCATAACATTTTTTAAGCCAAAATCAAACAAAATAATGCATCATGGCCGTGGAGAGCATGGATGAATATCAGAGCAACATTTGACCAAGGATTGAGATATGAGATAAGAGATGACAGGTATGTGAAAACATGGGAGCACACATGGATCCCCATTATCAGATTATACAAACCAACTTCTGGAAACAATTATGACTTGGTGTGGGTAAAAGATCTTATTGAAATTGATAGAAAGTGTTATCAGGAACACTTTTTCAACTCTTGACTTCGAGGTTATCTTGAAAATTCAAAGTCTTAATCCTAGTTTCCGTGAAAGATTTGTTAGATTCTTGACAAAGTGCGCCAACCGATTGTATACCACCACTGATAAACACCAGAATAAGCGATATTCACTGGGCCAGGAGCACCCCCCCGAGTAAAAGCTTCCACGGCCGATTGGCCAAAATGAGGATCCCAAATTGCATGAGCAATAGGGAAGTTCTCTGTTAAATCTTTGTACTCTAAGCTGATGGAGGAGAAGCTTAAAAAATGGATTTTGTTGAAAGTAGCTCTAGTACTATGACCCAGATTAGAAAAAAAAAATAAATTAAAATTTAGATGTGTTGTGCATGAATTATTACACGTTATATACTATGCTATGGGCGAAGAGACAAATTGGACCTTCAGGCCCAAATTATGAGAAAAAGCCCAAGAGCCTACATATCCTTTTTTAGCTCATCTCAAGGACAGCATCAGACTATCGCATACGGTGAACGGTGAACAACACACGATACACACAATATCACTTCTCAAAACACATCAGACTATTGACTCGGCAGAATGAGTCTCACTTTTTAGTGAATCAAAGTAGCAGCTATTGTATGCACGTACCTGTTTATATCTTACGGTTTATGAGTATGCATTAATTAACCGAGGTCTAGTTTGTTTACCGATCAGTGCACTAGTGTAATCGATCAGTCTGTCATAGATAACACTGCAACCGTTACATGATGGGTTGTTCATTTTCTTCTAGGTTGTGAACTATATTATTTATGTTTTACAAGTAACTAATACGTGATCTTTTATCTCATATGTGATGGATCACAGTATTTCCAAATGTAAAACAATAGAATATAAATTATAAAATAGTTTAATTAAACATGATTCGCATTAAAAAGAAATATAGTGTCTATTACGCAAAAGAGGGTACGACCATGATGCATTCGCGCGTCTCACTCTGATCTCCATAATGCACCCCTACTCCAGAAGGAATAGGGAACTTGAGAGAATAATGAAAGATGGACACCGCTGCCCGGAGCTTGTACAGTTCTTCCTAGGATGGCATTGTGACTATCTTGAAAGTTTCGAGAATCATTTTTCCAGTCAGTTTTCGTCTCCTCCGAATTAAATGGGTAGAGTTATTTCACCCACAGGGATGGCAGTCAGGTTGTCGAACCCTTGAATTTGATCATTACATGGTCAGATCTCCTTAGGATCAATTCCCATTTTCAAAAATGTGTTCAGGTATAGTACACTCGCACACGCTCCTGCTTCCACTAGGATCCTGTGTACTGGGATGTAGAAAATCGGTGTCGTCGGCAGAAGAGCTTCTAAATGGGGATGATCGAACTGTACGGAGTTCTCATCCGAGAAAGTGATTAGGTTCGTTCGAACGGGCGAAAAGTGTCCCAGTTCGGTGTGTCGAACTTGTTGTTTAGAGCTATAAGCTCGTCTTGCGTATGTCTTCATCTGTTAACAAGAGTCATTCGTCCTGTTGACTAGTCGTACCAGCGAGGATATCCTGTCTTTAGACC